GTTCCCGCCTGCCGCCAATTGGGGGACCAGAGCGCGATCGGTGCTGTGTTGTTCTCGTGAATGTCGAGCCGTACACGTGTGGAACGATTCACAGAGTGACGTCGACGACGGGTGCAGTCGCGTGAACGATGAGTTCCTATCAGTTCGTTAATTCGCTCGCGTCATGCTACGCGGGCCAACAGGCACAGCAACAGCCCCGAGCCACAGCAAACTCGCCCGGAGAACCGATGCAAGCGGCGTCCCCAGCAGGTGGAGACTATTATAATCCGAACGCCGCGGCAACCAGTTATCCGGCACCCTGTTACTCGCCTCAGCAACATTATCCTCAGCACCCGTACGCGACACCGGCCTCGGGGATGCAGCACACAGCGCCCACAGGGATGATAGACTACACGCAATTGCAGCCCCAGCCGAGACTCAGCGCGACGACCACCTCGCAACAGCATAGTCTGCACGCGCCGCAATCGCAGCACCATCCGCAGCAGCATCATCCTCAGCAGCAGCTTCACCAGGATCCGACGACGCCGCTGCTCCAAGCAGCGTCCGCGCCCTCGGCAGCCTCCACGTCGAGCTGCAAGTACGCCGACTCAACGTCCTCCACCAGCGTCGCGTCGCCACAAGATCTGTCCACGTCCACCTCCAGGAACAGTCCGACGCCCTTGGTGGCAGCCGGTTCCAGCAAAACCGCGTCGGGACTCACCTCGCCGCCAGGAAGCTCCTCGAGGTCGTCCGTGGCCGCGTCGGCATCTTCTCCGGCCAGCGGAACTTCGAGACCCGTGGGCGAAGGAAGCTCCACGTTGACCACCGCGTCGTCCGCGTCCTCGCCCGCATCCTCCACCTCCAGCACCTCCAGCACCGGGAATAACTCGTCCAACAAGTCCAATGCCACCGGCAGCAATCCACCGCAGATTTACCCGTGGATGAAGAGGGTGCACATCGGACAGAGTAAGTCTTTTGCTCTTCCCTTTCTATTTGCTCCTCCTGATAGCGTTTAATTGCGGGGTACCTTGAACGCGGTAGGCAGAACCCGAACGCCCGTTCTCCTACTTAATTGCCGCCAGGACCTTTTAAATCGGTATTGGACTTATCGGTTCTCCGCTCGACTGTTCCAGTCCGTGTACGGTACTCGCGGCGATCAGCGACGAAAAATGGTACCTCGTGTATCTTGACGGTTTTACGAGATTCGTGCGATTCAATTCGGTGAAATCAGATTCGATGCCATTTGTTTTGGCAACATTTGATGTCGCTTAATTTTGGCGCGATACAATTTTATGTGGTCCAATTCAGCTAAGTTTACTTCAGCATAATTCTACATGATCTCATTCACTGCAATTCCCGATTTGACTTGAATCAATTCACCTGATACCTTATTTAATTCGATACAATTTGACTTGACACAAAGCTCCATGCAACTCAGTACATCGAATGATTATTTGAGTGAAAGACCCAGTAGCTAGCACCGATTTACCGACTCTCACTGCCTCCTGTTTCTTATAAATCATCCTTTTTTGTCTATTTGCTTATTATTTTTAAGGGAATGCTAATAACAAGCATGTCAATCAATCAAACCACATGCAAATAACTGAAATAATGTATATGTCAGTTGTTAGTGATTGATGTCAATAATTAAGGACTTGTATGCACGTTCTTACATAAATTTAACTTATGGAAAATAATTTCAAAATGGTTGCAGAAATATTACTTAGAGAAAATCTTTGAATTTTATGATGCACAATTGTATAGAAATTATAATATACACTTTAATGCATTGTAAAGTACTTGTTTAAATTGCCAGTAATTGGATGCTTTGGGCCTATCAATGCCCGCCGGCTACACGCCCTTGCGGTTGCAATTGCCCTCCGCTGTTCCTATAATGGACGATTTGATTCGGTAGGGGTCCTTATGGATCCTGATATATCAGGAGTATTGTACCTTTCACATATGGTTTAGGCGACATTTCATAACACTTTCGCTAGCTTTAAACCACCGTTGCTATCAGCAGGCTCTATTATCTAGCTTGTAATTATTAAAGGATAGAGGTTAACAGGGTTTAACAACTATAATATACCTAGTATTCGTAGTAACAGAATTCTGCAATATTTATTCAGAAATTTCTTTCAAGCGACACTAAGCGTATTGCTCCTGAATCAAGCAATTATTCGATGAACTCTACATCGCCAAACGTAGGATTTATAATCGTAAAATCTGGACAACATTCCTCGTAAATGAACAATTGTCCCAGAACGTTTCAAGATGTCCAGCTTTAGACTTCTCTCGGTATACACGTGTTGCGTGTCGAAAGGAAGTTTGAATTGCCTGAAGTTGGTCCGTTCTCGCATTTCCCGGTCGGGATAGAGGGAAAGAAGGAAGGGAAATTGACGCAGTAAAAAAAAGAAGAAACGTGGCTCGTACGTCCAACGGTTAAGTTAGGCCGTAAATCGCGCGACGGGTCGGGACTCGATCGGTGATAAGTCATAAACGCGCATGAAACGTAAAAATAAGCGGCGGTGATTTGTAGATCGGCGCGACGAAAATTTGTGCCAGTGTGTCGTAACGAGATGGTGGAATACACGGGTGTTTAATAATCGCGATTATTTTATGCAACCTCTCCTTCGGCCCCGCTAAATCACGTCTAAAATATTAACCGTGAGATTATAAACGATACTCGTCGCGATTACGATCCTCGCTCGTATATCACCGGCGATGTCCGACGACGAACCGTCAAATTAGTTAACCTCGAAGGTGTTCTTTCCACTTGACGAAATTCGAGGGAGAATTTTAGCGGGAACGATCGTAGGCCGAAGACGAATTTATCGTTGAACGATTTGGAACGATTTGCGGCTCGTCGAGTCCGCTTTGTAAATGTTTCACGTTATCTGGAGTGGTCGAGGTGCCGGCGCACAAGAATAGTAGAAAATAATCGATAGAGTAGGACTGCGGTTGTTTGAAAGTAGCTGGAAAATACGCGAGTGTTGTGGGACGTTTGATCGAAGTTGACGGACGACGTCCAGATTTGGTCAACGATGTGCGGCGCAATTGATAGACGAAGGATCGAGTTACAGGCTGATAGGAATAAATTGGCTGAATTGTTGTAACTGTATAATATCGAAAGTTCATTGTCGAATTACTCTTTCATGTTTTAATCGAAAAAGAGAATCTTTTCACTGCGGTTATAGTACAGCAATATTCTTCTCAATTATACAAGTGCAATTGTAATCATGTTGCAACAATAAGTGTTTGAATTTGAAATAAATATCATGTACATTGTGATATGCACAGAGTTTGAAGACAACGAAAATTTGTGAAATTTCTGCAATGTCTTTCATGCTTAAAATATACATATTATGAAAAACGAGCAACTCATTCGTCGACAAATTCGAACCGCGATTTCTTGCCGAATAAAAGTTCACGAAAGTTGGTCTCACGGTGTTCGGATACCGCAACTGGTCCCAAAGGGGCCCGATTCATTACAACGTTCTCATAGCCACTCAGTGAAAAAACAACCGAAAAAACGTAGGTCCATAAAGAAAAAAGAAGAAACAACGAATGGAATCGAATGGCCTTAGCCACAAACGCCCACATTCCCTTTCCTGCGAGAAGGTAGCGTCACTGTCGCACATTGTGATAAAATAGCGGAGTAGGTGTGCAACTCTAAAAACAAACTTCTAATTCCCTTGTTAGATTAATAATGTTGTTACTAGCTTTGAAAAACTTGGAATCGGAACTGACTTAGAAAGTTCAATTTTTATACTATGATAGACATTTTTGTAAAAGGAAGATGACTTGAAAAATGCATGTAATATACGGTGAGGTTGCATTGAACAGTGATTCATGAACAATGATACACGTTCTAGAAGAACAAGAGTTGTAGACGATCTTGAAGGTCTTGATCGAAAATAGATCTTCATATTTAATTAATATATCAACAAGGTTTTACAATAACAAGATTAATATATCAACAAGATTTTGGTTAAATACGCAAGGTGTATAATCATGTTCCATAAAGGACAGCAAGAGTTTTGGTCAGCTCAGCAATACATTATTTTCATAAAGACGAGCATAGTTATAAATGGTGACTAATTATTAAACAAAGCTAAGCAATAATTCTCGTTGGACAACTAATATATCGTCCAAGAGTTAAATACGCAAGATTTATAAGTCCCGTAAGGAAGTGAAAAACCTGATGACCAAGTGGAAAGGAAAAACAGTTATAAAGAGATATTGTCCCGTTTAATCCGAACGCGGTTCGCGGGTCGAAGTTTAACGGTGAGGCACGATTACGTAAACGGTGGTCGGGTGAAGTAGCCCTCGTGAAATCGGCGGATAACCGAGTCGGCTATAAAAATACGGAAACGAGCGGCGCGGAGACAAATAGAGTGCGTCGCCTCCGAGATGGAGCACGAGGTGGACGAGTGGAGGGGGTCGAAAGAGGGCCCACGGCGATTCAGGCAGAGTCCAAGGGGCCGGGGATCCACCTGCCCCCGTGGTTCAAAGGAGATAAGACAGCGAGCGCTGGTCGCGTTCACATTAGTCGCCCCGCGTGATTTACTGCGCGGCCAGTATGATTCAGTCAGCGGGGAATTTGACGAAGAATTAATGGTATTATGATATCGTGTGTAACTCTATGTATGTGCGCCCGGGCCATAAATCAGGCTGCATTGTAAGGCGCGGGGGGCCCTTTCCTTCGTCGTTCCTGTCCCTCTCTCTCTCCGTCTTTCTCCTTTCCGCTCTCGGCTTTACTTTCGGCTCGCAGCGTGTCCGGCCTCTCTGGAACGAAGGCCGAAGCCCATTCGACGGGCCTCCCAAACGGGATACGAAAACCAAAGCTCCTTTCCATACGTCTCCCGACTTCCTTCTCGCTCGCTACTCGCGCCTCCTCCTCTCTCGTTTTTTCCTTCGTTCCCTGTGTTTCTCCGCTTTCTTAGCGTGCTCCACACTGCAGGGGGTTAAACTTACGCCAACGAGTAGTTGCACGGAATCGAACAAATCCTAGATGCTTGCCACGGAGAAGACGTATACAGATTATGTTATACAATTGCACCAAGAATTTTCGCCATAGGCTGACTTAAATCGGGTCCTAAGGTGAAGCGAAAGAAACGTAACTTCTGTGCTTCGAATGGAGACATATGCAGATTACGAATAGTTGCACGAAGAGAATTTTCACCGAAGAGTGACTTGCATCGAGTGTTCTTTGGCGGGGAACAAATGTAACCTGGGATAGAGAAGACACGCGTAGATTACGTTATACGAGAGTAGTTGCACGGAGAGAAACTTCACCGAAGGCTGACTTGAATCGGGTACTAAGGTGGGGTTCTAAGGTTACGCGAAACCTAGTGCTTCGGGTAGACATATGCAGATTACGTTACACAAAAGCAATTGCACAGAGAGAAACTTCGCCGAAGGCTTACTAGGACTTGCAGTTAGGCTCTAAGGTTAGGCAAGGAGCGAGTAACCTCGACTGCGATTCATATAGAAAAGACACGTAGATTGCGCCAACGAAGAGAATCTTCACCGAAGACTTGCATCGGGAACTTGGGGTTAGGTCTAAGGTTAGGCGAGTCAAACGTTACCTACTCTTTACATAAAGAAGACACGTACAGATTATTTGAAAGATCTCGACTTCAAAATGGATCGCTGGTCGCGTTCACATTAGTCGCCCCGCGTGATTTACTGCGCGGCCAGTATGATTCAGTCAGCGGGGAATTTGACGAAGAATTAATGGTATTATGATATCGTGTGTAACTCTATGTATGTGCGCCCGGGCCATAAATCAGGCTGCATTGTAAGGCGCGGGGGGCCCTTTCCTTCGTCGTTCCTGTCCCTCTCTCTCTCCGTCTTTCTCCTTTCCGCTCTCGGCTTTACTTTCGGCTCGCAGCGTGTCCGGCCTCTCTGGAACGAAGGCCGAAGCCCATTCGACGGGCCTCCCAAACGGGATACGAAAACCA